AACACATAGAGACCAGAAAGCAGAGCGGATGCTAGAATATGGGTGCCTCATCCCTGCGGTGCACCAGGCTCACATAGGAACTAAAGCCCTATGGAGGTTAGTGATGCTGATACACTCTAGGTTGATTCCCCACCTCTTCCAGCCACGAGTGAGTCATTGGTCTCATGAAAGAGGAGGCCAAGTCAGGGCACAGCGGCAGGCAGGCAGGGAACAGATCTGCACTCCAACAGCTTCCAAGCATATGCCTTCCACCAGCAGAGCCTATCAGCTGGCTCCCAGGCTGGGAAAGCTGCCTGCAGATTACATGCGGGTGGCACCTGTCACCATCATCTGCAAACTACAAAACACTGGTCAAAGAATGACATAAACAGATGGAAAAATATCCCATACTCATGGACTGGAAGAATCAATATTAAGATGTCCATCCTACTTAAAGCAATCTACAGATTCAATGCAATACCCATCATATTACCAACTTTTTTTTTCATAGACCTGGAAACGACAATATAGAGATTCATATGGAAACAGACAAAAAAAGAACACAATTAGCCAAAACAATCCTCAGCAAAAAGGAACAAAGCTACAGGCAACACAATTCCAGACTTTAAACTTTATTACAAAGCTACAGCAACCAAGATGGCATGATATTGGAATAGGAATAGGCACAACGACCAATGGAATAGGGTAGAGATTCTGGAAGTAAAAATGCAGTCTCTCAACCAAGTCATCTTCGACAAAGCCACCAATAACAATCATTGGGGAAATTAGACCATATTTAACAAATGGTGCTGAGAAAACTGGCTAACCACATGCAGAAGAATGAAACTGGACCCATCTTTCACTATATTAAAAAATGAACTCAAAGTGGATCAAGGACCTAAACGTTAAGGCTCAAACTATAGGAATCCTAAAAGAAAATGTAGGAAGCACTGTTCTGGACATTGGAGTAGGCAATGAGTTCATGACCAAGTCCCCCAAAGCAAATGCTACAAAAGCTAAGATAGAGGTGGGACCTCATCAAACTGAAAAGGTTTTGCACAGCAAAATAAACAATCAAGAGAGTAAAGAAACATCCCATAGAATGAAAAAAATTATTTGAAAAGTATGCATTTGACAAAGGCCTAGCATCCAGGATCTACAAGAAACAAACTGAAGTGAAAGAAAAAAAAACAAACCCTTAAAAAGTGGCCAAAGAGCCGGGCTTGGTAGCTCAGCCTGTAATCCCGTGCCTTTGGGAGACTGAGGTGAATGGATTGCCTGAGCCCGCAGGTTCGAGACCCGCCTGGGCAGGCGAGATCTCATCTCTACAATAAATCAAAAAATTAGCTGGGCGTGGTAGCGCGCCCCTGTAGTTCCAGCTACTTGGAAGGCTGAGGCGGAAGGATCGCCGGAGCCCAGCAGGTGGAGGCTGCGGTGGCTGGGAGCGGCCACTGCACTCCAGTCTGGGCGACAGAGTGAGACTCCAACTCAAAAAAAAAAAAAAAGTGGCAAGCAGAGAACTTGGTTCTCCTCATCATCTCAGACTTAATGTGGCCACGAAGAAGCTGCTGACTCCACTCCCCAAAACACCTTTTGTCTCCAGTAAATGGCATCATCATTTACCCCACTGCTCAAGCCCCCAATCTAGGCCAGTTGTAGTGACTCACGCCTGTGATCCCAGCACTTTGGGAGGCCAAGGCGGGAGGCTCTTCTAAGGCCAGGAGTTCAAGACCAGCCTGGGCAACATAGTGAGAACCCGTCTCTACAAAAAATAAAAAAAAATCAGCCAGGTGTGGTGGCACACACCTGTAGTCCCAGCTACCCTGGAGGCTGAGGCAGAGGGATTACCTGAGTCCAAAAGATCCAGGCTGTGGTGAGTTGCGATTGTGCCATTGCACTCCAGTCTGGGCCACAGAGAGAGAACCTGACACAAATAAAATAATATTAATAATAATTTTTTTTTGAGTCGGAGTTTCACTCTGTGGCCCAGACTGGAGTGCAGTGGCACACACACACCCACCACAGCCTCGACCTGCTGGACTCTGGCGATCCTTCCGCCTCAGTCTTCCAAGTAGCTGGAACTACAAGTGTGTGCCACCACACTCGGCTAATTTTTTTTGAAGAAAGCAGGATTAATTGAGAGGACACAAAAGCTCCCACAGTGGGAAGGGACCAAAGAGGGTTGCCCAATTTTTTTTGGGGGGGGGGAGGATTTATTGTAGAGATGAGGTTTCACCAAGTTGCCCAGGCTGGTCTCAAACCCTTGGACTCAGACAATCCTCTCGCCTCTGCCTCCCAAAGTGTTGGGATGACAGGCGTGAGCCACCGTGCCTGGCAATAATAAAAATTGTTTAAAGGAATAACGCAGTCGAGGAGTCAACCTTGATTCCTTGCTCCTACACCCAAATGTGTGTTCGTGTTCTTCCTGTCCTTTTGCTGAGTCAAGTTGCCTCTTGCTCCAAATGTGTCCCACATCCAGCTTCTCCTCTCCACCTGTCTCTACCTGGTCTAAGCTACCATCACTGCTTGCCTAGATGGTTCTAGTCACTTCTCTGGGTCCCAGACTGGGGGGCAGTGCTTGCCTAGATGATTCATATCCAGCTCAATTCGACCTCAGGGCCTTTGCACTTGCGGTTCCGGAAACCTCTTTCCCCAGCTATGGGCACAACTGACCCCACTTCTCATCTCGCAGGTTTAGGTTCAGATGGTGCCTCCTCCAAGTGGCCTTCCCTGATCACCCTCAATGAGCACCTCATCACTCTCCCTCAGTTATTTTACTTTACCGATAGCCGATATCGCTAACTCGAGTTATCTTGTCAATGTGTATGTCCTCTTCCCTCCGGCTGGAATGTAAGATTCACGAAGACAAGAATCTTATCTATCTTTTGCAAGCCTAGCACAGGCTGACACAATGCAGGCACTCAGTGATTATTTGTTGAATGAATGAACAAGTAAATGGATGAGACTTCGGGGCATGCGGTGAAGTGTTTTGTTTTCTGCTTATTTATTTGTTTGTTTGTTTGTTTTTTGTTTGTTTTTAGGGTCAGGGTCTTGCTAAGTTGGCCAGGCTGGTCTCGAACACCTAGCCTCAAGCAATCCTCACGCCTCGGCCTCCCAAAGTGCTGGGATTACAGACATGAGCCATGGTGCCCAGCCCAAGCCCCTTTTATTTATTTATTTATTTATTTATTTATTTATTTTTTGAGTTGGAGTCTCACTCTGTCACCCAGACTGGAGTGCAGTGGCGGTTCCCGGCCACCGCAGCCTCGACCTTCTGGGATCCGGTGATCCCTCCGCCTCAGCCTTCCAAGGAGCTGGAACTACTGGCGGGTGCTACCTCGCCCGGCTGATTTTTTGATTTATTGTAGAGATGAGGTCTCGCCAAGTTGCCCAGGCGGGTCTCGAACCCTCAGGCTCAGGCAATCCACTCACCTCAGCCTCCCAAAGGCGCGAGATTACAGGCTGAGCCACCGAGCCCGGCTTAAGCCCCTTTTATAAGGGCACGAATCCCACATGTGAGGTTGGAGTCCTAATCACCCTCCAGTGGCTCCATCTCTCAATCCTATCACGTTGGGGAACAGGTTTCAGTGTATGAATTTTGGAGGGACACACACATCCACACTATAGGCGACAGCCCATCAGCCAGGGCGTGTCCGTGTGTGGTGGGTACAAGGCACTTTCACGTCTCGAAACATGACCGCTGTGCTTGTATTCTCCGAGTCTGTCGGACTTTGCATGGACGCATGGCCGTGAGCGGCTGTATTGTGTTCGGTGTTTGTCCCTGCAGGTGTGTTTCTGTAGCCCCGTGTTTTGATAGGACCACATCTGTCCAGCTGCAGGCCTGTGTCTTTATGAGTCTGCAACCGGCTGGGGTGTGTCCGGCTGTCGTGTGAGTCCAGTTGGGTCTGTCTCTGCACCTGGCCGGGTCCTGGCAGTCTTTATTCCTTGGTTATTCCTCTGTGTCTGGGTTTTGTGTGTTTCCGTCCCTTATCTGGCTCTATTTCTCTGTTGTCCTGTTTGAATCTATGGCTGTGGTCTTTCTGTGTGTGCCTGTGTGTTGTCTGCTCGTCTGTCTGTCTGTGTCTGTCACTCTGGTCATACGACCTGCTGTCTCCCGTGTCTATCGGTTGCGTGTTGTCTGTCTATCTCTGTCTGCCTCTCTTTCTCTCTGTCTCTGTCTGTCTGTTTCTCTCTGTGTGTCCCTGTCTCTTTGTCTGTCTGTCACTCTGTCTCTCTGTGCTCGTTGGTATGCATCTGGGACTATGTTCTGGCTGTAGGACTCGCTGTCTCCCATGTCTGTGGTTTGTTGTCCACCTGTCTGTCTCTCTGTCTCTCCTCCTGTCTGTCTCTCCGCCTCTCTGTCTGTCTGTCTCTCCATGCTCGCTGGTGTGCATCTGTGACTAGGTTCTGGCTATCGGCCTTGCTGTCTCCCGTGTCTGTTGTTTGTTGTCCGTCTCTCTGTCTCTCTGTCTGTCTCTCCTCCTGTCTGTCTCTCCGCCTCTCTGTCTCTCCCTGCTCGTGGGGGTGCATCTGTGACTGTGTGCTGGCTGCAGGACTCGCTGTCCCCCCGTGTCTGTTTGCTGTCTGCCACTGCTCCCGGACTCCGTCTGTCTGTGTCAGTGACTCCTGGCCGTGTGTGTGTGTGTGTGTGTGTGTGTGTGTGTGTGTGTGTGCACGTGCGCACCTGCCACCTGCCCGCGTTCTGGCTCTCTGGTCTCCGCCCTCTGGGTGGCTCTCTCTGGTGGTCCCACGATGAACAGTCAGTGCAAATGGACGGAGGGGAAGAAGGGTCGAGGGAAGGCAAAGCATTTGAGACAGACCAGGACTCCTCAGCTCCTGCACGGTAGGGAGGGAGAGGCGAGGGTCGGGGTGTGATGGGGGACCAGACACGGCCCGGCCCACCAGGACAGAGCTGGGGGTCCGGCTTCCGAGGCCCACCCTTCCCAGAGGAGAGTGGGAGTCAGGATGCCTGGGTTTGTCGCAGCCGGTGGGGGCAGGGCCGCCGTCCGGGGACGTCACCCGTTAAACTTCCTCTCTCAGCCACACAGGAAGCTGAGCCGGCTCGGGGCCCAGCACACACAGGCCCCCGGGACCCCTGGGGAAAGGGCCCCGCCGGGCCAGCCCTGCAGGGACCATGGGATCCAGCGCCGAGTAAGAGCCACCCCATTCCTCATCCTCTGGGCCAGGATTCCCAGACCAGGCCTGGGCGGGGGCAGAGGGGAACTGGGGCTGGAAGGAACGGTGACCCACAGGGGCAGGTGGCTGGAGTCTGGGCAAGGCCCCCAGCTGGCCTCGCTATGGACTCTGTGCCGGGGCAGGCAGGCTCAAGCCACTGTCAGTCCCTCCTCTCTCTCCTTTTCTGGTTAGTCACTAGGAATCCCAAGCCCCTCTGAGCGTGTGCCCCTGGTGGGTCTGATTGATGAACTCTGGGGATTCACAGGGTGGGTGATCGGGGCGAGGGAAGGCCGAGTGTCCCCCCGAGGGGTGATTGTGTGTGACTCGTGTCTGTGGGGGATCCCGTGTCGGGAACTGTTTATGCCACTGGACAGGACAGTGTGACTGCAGTTGGTTTCCTCTGGGTCTTGCTGTCTTACTCCTTGAACCCAAGTCTTAGCCTCCTCTACGGGGTGTGGGGAAAGGGAAGGAAGACAGAGATTGCAGGGCTTAGAGTAAGGACCAGGGTATCCTACCCTCTTTTCTCTGATGAGAAATGTAGGATCAGAGGCCAGGCGTGGTGGCTCATGCCTGTAATCCCAGCACTTTCGGAGGCCAAGGTGGGAAGCTTGTTTGAGGCCAGGAGCTTGAGACCAGCCTGAGCAACATAGTGAGACCTCATCTGTACAAAAACATCAAAAAATTAGCCAGGTGTGGTGGCATGGGCCTGTAGTCCCAGCTATTCAGGAGGCTGAGTCAGGAGGTCGAGGCTGCGGTGAGCCATGATCGTGCCACTGCACTTCAGCCTGGACAACAGAGCAAGACCCCAACTCAAAAAAAAAAAGAAAGAAAGAAAGAAAAGAAAGGAAATGTGGGGTCAGCCATCAGGGTCCTATGGGGTCTGCCACCCAGAGATACAAGGATGGCCCACAAGGATACTTCCAGTTACCCAGCGATGCTCACAGCCATGCAAGGCAAGGTAGACCTCACACCTGCTTGGTCACACACACTCACCGTCCCACCCCACAGGTATATGGGCTTGTCAACACCGCTGCACACACAGCCTCACACAACCTTGCATTCACTTCCTCAAGCCCCTAGAGTCATGCACACACCAGGGCACTGAGTCACGCTTGCACATGCAGTCACACACATGTGCAGAGTGGCAGACACAAACACACTCACAGAAGCAAGTCCCAGGACCCGCTAAGGCCTTTTATGTACCACAGAGGAGGTCCCTCCGCTGTGTTTGATTGGTTCTTCGAAGCAGCCTGCCCCGCCTCCCTGCAGGAGGGTGAGTTGGCAGCTTGAGGTGGGAGGGAGGGGGAGGGGGAAGGGCAAACCTGTGGCCTTGAACTTGACGCCTGCTCACCCCTACAGATCCCCTAATCCTGCGGCAGTTTCCTCCAGACTTCAGGGACCAGGTATTGAGGCCAGCTTCTTGCTTCCCCAGGGCCAGGTCCCAGGGGCGGGGACTCTGTGTCTAGGACCTGGAGTCCAGGGTTGGTGCCTGACCTGAGTGGCCAGGCAGGCTGTGCATCTTTTCTCTATCCTCAGGAAGCAATGCAGATGGTGCCTAAATTCTGCTTCCCTTTCGACGTGGAAAGGTACGGAAGGGCACAGAGGCCCAAGGACCCAGGGACTCAGATATCCTAGGGAACCCCCAAGGATTAAACGGTCAAAGACCCAGATATCTGAAGACCCAGATACCCAAGGAGCCTGAGACCTGGGGAGTCAGACTCACACGGACCCTGAGAACTAGGGACCTATAAGCACGGGGACTCAGGACCCAGGAATTCAGAAACCTAGAGATCCAAGGACTAAGGGATCCTGGGACTAAGGGAATTCAGGAATTCTGACCCATAGGGACTCAGGGACCTAGGAACTCAGGGACACAGATACCAAGGGACCAAAAAAACCAGAAGCCCAGACACCCAGGGACCGTGAGACTCAGGGACCCAGTGACTCAGGCATTCAGGGATCCTGGCAACTGGGATCTATACACCCAGGGTTCAAGGAGCATTGTTGGGTGGGGGGGTGTCAGAGAGCTGGGACAACCAGGTCTCTCTGACAGCCCTTCTCACCTCCAGGGAACCCCCCAGCCCCGCTGTACAGCATTTCACCTTCGCCCTCACAGACCTGGCAGGCAACCGCAGATTTGGTTTCTGCCGCCTCCGGGCCGGCGCTCAGAGCTGCCTCTGCGTCCTCAGGTGTGGCATATGGGGGTCTGAGACAAGGGGTGTGAGTGGGGGGAGTCGGATGGGCCTAAGCCTGGGGCATTTCCTAAAGTCTGTCTCCTCTCTCCACAGCCAGCTGCCTTGGTTTGAGGTGTTCTACAAACTCCTGAACACAGTGGGGGACCTTCTTGCCCAGGACCAGGTGAGACTGGGCCTTCACCCTAAAAACCTCCCAGCTAGCTGGGAGCAGTGGTGCACACTTGTAATCCCAGCACTTTGGGAGGCAGAGGCGAGAGGATTGCCTGAGCCCAGGGGTTCAAGACCAGCCTGGGCAACTTGGCAAGACCTCATCTCTACAATAAATGAAAAAAATTAGCTGCG